AGAACCTAGCCAGAGAACATGGCTACAGAACCTGGCTGGAGAACCTAGCAAGAGAACATGGACACAGAACTTGGCTGGAGATTGTGGCTAGAGATCCTGGCAAGGCTGCTGATCAACTGAACGCTGTCTCCGTGTCATTCCTTCTTCGCCGACTCCGTCCACACCTTTGGGGACCCCTGGACCTGCTGGGGTTGGACCCCAGCAATTATGAACTTTGGAGCAGAAAGGCCTTGGTTTCAAATCTCACTCTATCAATTGTGATGTCTGAGACGATGACTTTGCCGTGCCTGGAACACCCTAGGTGCTAGGTGTTAGCTCCTAGTCTTAGGAACTCTGGCTACATTCCCATTACACTTTGTACATATCTCCAAAGATAGTAATTGTTTTTAGTGTAGTTTACATAACTCTTCACTAGGCCACCAAGGAATCATATGGAGATACTGTTAAAACACAGATATCTGTTTCCCAACCCTAGAGATTTGAACGCAGTGGGTCCAGGGCGGGACCCAAGAATTTGCATTTTTCTGAACTTTCTTATATTGCTTCCAAGTCAAAGGCCACACTTTGAGTAGCACCGTTCTAATGGATATGAACCAAGTAATTTTACCTTTTAACTGTCATAAGGTGCTAAAAAAATCTATTGAATAGATTAGTGAGGAAAAGGATAAAAATAAGTTGGCTAAACTTGTAAATAAACCGATGGGCTGGCTTAGAGTGTTGATTTCTGTGATTGATTAACTTTGTATAAAATGTTGAATGAAAAGTTTTTTGTAGGGTGTGAACTTTTAGTGAATAAATGTATATAAATAAAGTCACTAGCTTTTGTTAGTGACCCTTACTTTTCTTCTGAAGAGTATAAGGCCTTGTGCAGAAAATGCTATACTTTCTCTTTTTTTCTAGTTATCTTTTGGCAAACTGTAGATTTAGAAATAGGCAAGGGGGCAGGTAAGAGGATGGAAATTCTAGTGAAAGAGGGATTACGTTCGTTTTGTTTTACTTAATTTGAAAAATTAAATTTATTGGGTATATTGGTTAATATTATATAAATTCAGGTGTACAAGATCATAATTTGACATCTGTGTACTCTATTGTGTGCTCCCCACCTGAAGTCTAGTTTCCTTCCATTGCCATACATCTGACCCCCTTACCACTTCACCTTCCCCTCCCCCCTTCCCCTGGGATAACCGTCATTCTGTTGTCTGAATCCGAGTTTGTTTTTGTTTTATTGGTTACTTTTTGTTTTACATGTCACATATGAGTGAATCATAAAGTTTTTGTTCTTTTTCATCTGATGTATTTTACTTAGTATAATCGTCTCAAGATCCGTCCATGTTGTTGCAAATGGCAATATTTTGTCTTTTTATGACTGAGTAGAATCCTATTGTGTATATGTACCATATCTTCTTTCTCTAATCATCCCTCAGTTGACACTTAGGTTGTTTCCCTGTCTTGGCTATTGTAAATAATGCTGCAGTGAACACAGGGATATATATATAAATATAAATATAAATATAAATATATATATATATATAAATATATATATATATATATATATATGCACACATATATATTTGATTTCAGAGAAGAGGAGATAGAAGGGTCATATGATAGTTCTATTACTAATTTTTGAGAGGCCTTTATACTGTTTTCTATAGCGGCTGTACTAATTTACATTCCCATAAGGCAGTGGTTCTCAACCTTCCTAATGCAGCGACCCTTTCGTATACAGTTCCTCATGTTGTGGTGATCCCCAATTTCATTGTTACAAATTGAACATAATTAAAGCAAAATGATTAATCACAAAAACAATATATAATGATATATGTGTTTTCCGATGGTCTTAAGCGACTCCTGTGAATGGGTTGTTCAACCCCCAAAGGGGTCGCGACCCACAGGTTGAGAACCGCTGTTTAAACCATTTTTTTAGAGCCCTTCCTATATGATCATGGTTCACCTGCACTCAGACTTTTCATTTGAACTCAGGTTCCAGCAAGGAAAATAAGACCCACTCCGGTCTTTAAAACAGAGGAAATTTGAGATGGTGAATAAAGAGCTGAAAAGCCAAGAGGACAATGAGTCAACCCAGATATGAGCAACACTGGGAAGCCGCGACCACGCCTGTGTCTGCAGGGACGAAGGTAGTGTTATCAGGTGGAAACTGGACCCGAGTGGAGATGCAGCCGCTGCCAGAGACCTCTCAGAAAGGAGAAGGGGCGCAGAGGGTGGGATTTCTTCCCTTCTCCTGCCTCTGTCTTTTCAGCAGCGCCTCCATTGGTCAAATCTGCTTCAGAGCCAGGGAGCAATGGAACCTGGGAATGTAGTTTCTTAAGGTACAGAGCATGGAGAGAAGGGCAGGCAATGGACCTGAGCAAATAGGCAGCTGACTGGCACTACAAAGTGTAGTGTATACGCTTCATTCCATCAGTCCTGTAGCAACTACTTACTGAGAACCCACTATAGGTGTCCGGTACCTTGCTAGCAGCTGGGGATACCACAATAAGCAACACGGTCCTGATCAGAGACTGAGGAGAAATAGAATAAACACACAACCATTGAATTATAAAGTGCGTTGAGTGCAACGCAGGAAACCATCGCAGTGCTGACAGCGAGTGATTTAGAGGAGAAGTACAGCCCTCTGCCCTTTTAAGTCTGTTAAGTGACTCTTCAGGTGTGCATGCAGAAAACCTGTGCTCAGGAAAGAACAGAATATTTATATCTAGAAAAAGTTTTAAAAAGATCTTGTGACTTAGCATCTGCATTTAGGTCTTTATTGTCCCAAAGCTGTGTGTGTGAGATTGTAACAGAATGGGTGTGTGTTGCGGGGAGAGAGAGGGAGAAAAGAGAAAGAGAGAGATAAATAGAAACAGAGAGGGAGAGAGACAGAGACAGTGGGAGAGAGAGAGGGAGAGGGAACAGCGCAAAGGAAGATTCCTTCAGGAAAACATCCTAGGGAGCCAGAGGGCTCAGGGCAGCTCAGCTCCGGCAGGCTTTCTAGGCCCCACCTCCCTTCCCTCTCATCATAACTTGTGATCTGAGAGGCATGAAAGAATCTGAGCCCTTCCCCCAGCCTCACCCTCTCCCTGGGCTGCTCAGCCAGGCTCCAAGTCAAAACCAGCTCACAAGTCGGAGGGGCCACGCAGGAGGTGGCCGGCTGCAGGCAGGTTCCTCACCCAGTGGCCATGGGCGGCAACAGTGGACAGCCAGGCACGCACACCTACAGATCCCTCGCCGAGGACGGCCCCTTGGCCGCGGGGGAGCCGCCCAGGAGACCCACAGGCCGGCTCATCATGCACAGCATGGCCATGTTCGGCCGGGAGTTCTGCTACGCCGTGGAGGCGGCCTACGTGACCCCCGTGCTGCTCAGCGTGGGCCTGCCCAAGAGCCTGTACAGCGTGGTGTGGCTCCTCAGCCCCATCCTGGGCTTCCTGCTGCAGCCCGTGGTGGGGTCGGCCAGTGACTACTGCCGGGCTGGGTGGGGCCGCCGCAGACCCTACATCCTGGCCCTGGGCGTCATGATGCTCCTGGGCATGGCTCTGTACCTCAACGGGGACACCGTGGTGTCAGGTCAGTGCGCTGCTGCAGGCGGGCAGGCCGGGAAAGGGTCCTACTAGGTAACTCAGTAGGAGTGTTTGGGTTTCTCTGTGGGACACTTAACGATTGCTTACGACCGTTCATCTCTCCTAGGTTTCCATGAACTTCCAACTTGGAATGACCCAAATTCTGTGCTTGAGGAGATTTTACTTTTAGAAACATGAGGATGCATTGTTGTTGGTTTAGTGTGTGTGTGTGTGTGTGTGTGTGTGTGTGTGTGTGTGTGTTTTAAAATAGAATTAAATTTTTATCTACTTTATCAAACTTAATGTTTTCACATACTTATTAATTGCCATGTTTGGAACCCATTACATGTTATTTAGTACTTTGTCCATTTAACCAGCTATAAATATTGCAAATTTATTTGCAATAAATTACTTGTGTGTCCCAATAAGGGTTAATCCTGTTCAGAGCTTTATGCGGAGCTGCTTAGTGGGTGCAGGGCATCCGTCTGCAGCTCCAGGGGACATTCTGGCAAATTCTGGACAAAACAGACGTGATGGTGAGCACTTTTTCTAGCCATTAATCAACCACCAATTAATCAGTAATTAGTCAGTAATTGGTGGTAGTGGATAAAAAGTTGCCCTGAAAAAAGGATCATAAATGTAAAAATAGCACACATGCTTAGGCCTTTAACTCCCAGGCAAGCAGAATGTATGATAATGAGGCAGGATAATTAGTTCTCTTTCATATATATGTAAAAGAGGGCATAAGTACATAAAGGTAGAATACTTCTGGAAGAATCACAAGAAAACCGGATAAGACTGTTGCCTCCAGGGAGGGCACTAAAGGACTGGCGGGGAGAAGTGGAGGACAGGCTTACTTTCTGCTATCATTCAAACAACGTGCATATCTTACATATTATTCCTAAAAAATTAACTGAAAGCAAGAAAAATTGTTAAGATTGGATGAATAAAGTGTGACATAGGCATAGAATACATATTATTTAGCTGTTAAAAATTGTGAAATTGATCTTCATTAATTGGAATGTGAAGACAGGGAGTTGGTTATAAATGAGCATGTGCACATGGTCCCGTGAGTCAGGGCATCACTGGGGCTCTGGAGATGCAAATCCTCAGGCTCTACCTCACACCTACTGAGGAATCATGGGAGAACCATGGAGACTCATGGGAGATGGAGTCCAACCATCCAATCTATTAACAAGTCATCCAAGCGCTGATAAGTGTGCTAAAGTTTGTAAAGCACCGCATTAAGGCACAAATGTACACTTTTCTCTGCATGTGTGTAAGCGCATAAAGGGACGTGGGAAGGAGGGCCACCACTGGCCTTAGGATCTGAAGCATTTCCCCAGGTTTTCTATATCGTTGAAATGGTTTACAATAAGCATGCACAATTTTTAAAACTGCTCTAAAGAGATATGAGTAACATACCACAAAAGTCACCATTTTAAAGTGTACAATGAGGTACTTTTTAGTATATTGGCAAGGCTGTGCAACCATCACCCTATCTAATCCCACAACATTTTTATCATCCCACAAGGAAACCCAGTAAGCACTAGCAGTCACACCCCATCCTCCCCTCCCCACAGTCAAGGCAGCCACTCAATCAGCTTTCTGTCTCTATCGATTTGCCTTTTCTGGCCCTTTATTGGAATAATTCTTAAAACCCAAACAAAATAGTAAAGTTTTTATTTGGAAAACAAAGCAAAATGAAAGCAAAGGGAGATCATTTGGTGCCAGGAGGTCTGGGTGGGAATAAAAATGCGAGTCATTTCAAACCAAGCTTTGGGTGCCCACTGTTTGTTTCTCTTCTAGCGCTGATAGCTGACCCACGGAGGAAGCTGATCTGGGCCATCACCATCACCATGATGGGTGTGGTTCTCTTTGACTTTGCTGCGGACTTCATTGACGGGCCCATCAAAGCCTACTTGTTTGATGTCTGCTCTCACCAGGACAAGGAGAGGGGCCTCCACTACCACGCCCTCTTCACAGGTAGGGAACATTCCAGAAGGTCTCTTCTCCAGCTCCCAGGCAGACAGGCCCTTCCACTGAAGCCATTCCTGTTTCTCTGCACGTTGAGTTTTTTTGAATGAATGGATCACTTGATGGAATGCTCCCATCACGCGGGGCTCTGCTCCCAGTGTATTTCTCTAAACAAAGTCAGCTTGTGACCAGGCTGCGGAGTTTTGCAAAGGAAGTTTACATAAGAGCTTTCTGAAGAGCCATCTGTGGAGACATTTACAACCGAAATGAAAAGAGGCCTTGTGCACTTTACTTTTTGGTTGCTTAAAAAAAAAAAAAATCAGTAATTTAGCATCAGCATTACTTCAGAGCTTGTTAAAAATGCAGTTTCCTGCCCCCTGCCCCCTCCAGTTATTTTGATTCAGTGGGTTTGGGGTAGGGGCCCAGAAATGTGCATTTTTAAAAATATATATTTTATTGATTTTTTTACAGAGAGGAAAGGAGAGGGATAGAGAGTTAGAAACATCGATGAAAGAGAAACATCGATCAACTGTCTCCTGCACTCCCCCTACTGGGGATGTGCCCGCAACCAAGGTACATGCCCTTGTCCAGAATCGAACCTGGGACCCTTCAGTCCGCAGGCTGGCGCTCTATCCACTGAGCCAAACCAGTCAGGGCAGAAATGTGCATTTTTTTAAAAAATATATTTTATTGATTTTTTACAGAGAGGAAGGGAGAGGGATAGAGAGTTAGAAACATCGATGAGAGAGAAACATCGACCAGCCGCCTCCTGCACCCCTCCTACCGGGGATGTGCCCGCAACCAAGGTATATGCCCTTGACCGGAATCGAACCTGGGACCCTTGAGCCTGCAGGCCGATGCTCTATCCACTGAGCCAAACCGGCTTTGGCTAGAAATGTGCATTTTTAATAAGTACCCCAGATGATTCTGTGGCAAGTATTCCAAGAACCATGTTTAAAAAACAGAAATAGAAACAAACCAAGCAAATGACAATTCCCTGGGAGATTTCTTAGTTCCATAAAGAACTGGCATCTCCTCGACCTCCTGGTCTGAAAGAAGCCACGGCAGGAGGGCAGCGGGGCTGTTCCGGGGCTGTTGCTGGCCTCCTGTGGTTGCTGTGGGCCGTTCACGTAGAGCTGTGCTACTAATATTCAGCATGCGCTTATAGGACTGTTCTAGGGCTAGGGTTCTACCTGAGGCTGCAGCACCATCCCGGCCCAGGAGGATTTTTATATCTACCAGTCTATCTTATTTGATCGACTTCCTAGCCCAGCCAATCTATTTATTTCTTATTTTTATATATTCTCTCTCCTCTCATGGCCAGTAGGTCCCAGTGAGAAGCAGGATCCTGTGTTCTGTTGTTTATGTCTCCAGAGCGAAGAGCAGTGCCCACATAGGGAAGCCATTGGGTCAATATGTGTTGTCGACCACAGGTTTGAATGTTTGAATGTCTGAGCACTTGGCTGCCCAAGATAGAGTGCAGTTCCTCTCGCTTCGGGGAAGGTGGGGGAGCAGGAGTCCGTTTCTGTCTGTCACTGGCCCTGACCATCCTGTCTACAGCAGAGAGATTCAACTGCATGCTCCTGATTTAAATCCTGTAATTCCTTCTGCTCTATCATAATGCCCTGAATTTAATTACAGCAAAGCCATGGGAGACTTGTTGGCTTTTGAACACGACACATTGAGAATTACATTGCACTAATATTTGGCAATGTGGCTGCCACCTCCCAGTTTACGACAGTGTTAGTCTTGGCCAAACAATCTCTGCTTTGCTGCCTCTGATATTCGAAGATTGAACCTCTGTATTTTGATTGCTTTTTCAAGGCTAACACATGATAGTGTTTCTATGAGTTTGGGAAAATATCTGGAGGTTTTCTGCTGATATTGGCATAAGGTGTAGTCTCAGCAAATATGTATAATTTTAATATATTACCTTGGTTTGGGATCTTACTACATCTTATCTGAGCTTTGTATTTATCCCTTAACTGCTTTTCAGCCTAAAACTTCCTCCTATTTTAATTGAACCACTACACAGCTTCCAGATTCATTTTCCTAAAAGACATATCCGACTGGGGCTTAAGTGATAATCCCAGAGAGTCTACATTATTTGTGAACATCTCTCCTATCACCCATGAACTACAGTATGGCTTGTTTTGTGCATACAGACCTGCATAGTGATGGATACATATAAATATATCTGTTAATGTTTACTCCTGGACATGGGCTCAATGCATGCAACAGCAGATAGGATCACCCATGTTATATAAAATGCTGTTTTGTCTTTCTGTGCTCTCTCCCTCTTTGCAAAGTGGGACTAGATGAATTGTGTTGGGTTAAATGTGGCTGTGACCCCACCACGTGACCTGCTCTGAGTGGCAGGCCACATTGAAAGATGGAGTGAAAACAACAAGCAGCGCACTGCCACTCTGCCCTGCCTTGCACACATACCGGGCCTCCTAATTTGCATGAGCTTGGTGGAGAGATGGCTACAGCATTCTGCATGAAACAAGCATTGGTGAGAAAGCCAGGTTCAGTATCAGGGCCCATTTTGACTCCCACCAACACTAAGATATTCCTCCAGGGAAGCCAGTCATCTGAGTAAGTTGAAATTCTTTTTATTTATTTCAGAGCTATAGTCCAGGCCCAACAATTCCAAGCACTTTCAAATAAGTGTCAAAAGGTTCATTGCCAAAATATCTCCTAGCATATTTCTGACTTTTTAAAATTTTTTTTTTCATTGATTTTTTGAACAGAGAGGAAACGA